CTACCCTGCATGTACAGCCACAGGCTCGGATCTGCACACGAACCGCTCATTGCAATCGCTGCAGTGACGACCTCTACATTTGTATCAGCAACGCAGACTGGCGACTGGAGTCTCTGCACGTCAAGCTTTAAGCTACTGCAAAACTTTGCCTGCTTCGACGGTCAAGTCTTGCTTGCAATTGCAATCCTTGAAGTGTTTGCAACCACCGAAGCAGACCGGCAACTGGAGTCTCTTGCATTGCAAGCTACTGCAACACCAAGGCTTTGCCTGCTTCCACCGTCAAATCTTGCTTTGCAATGACAATGGGACGCACCGGCTGCAATCCATTAATGGACCACTTCAGCTGCCATCCTACAGCAGAGACTTCCGTCTCCCACTTCTTCGGAGAAATCTTCTTTGCAGCTTGGCTCTGGCTCCACTTCAGCCCTGCCTCTTCGTCCGAGATTCCGAAGATCACATCGTTGACCTGCTTATTCAATCCAGGGGCTTATGCTATCTGAATGTACTCCCAGAATGAACGGATGACCCAGCCTTCTCCAGCTCCCACTTGCCTTCTGGATTCAAGGTAACCCGGTGGTAACACACTTTGCAGTGGTCGAGGCCCTTTGTCTTCCTTGCATCATCCAGCATGTCTTCAACGGTTTTGGCAACGTTGTCCACGACGCCAATCATGGCCGCTGAGGGTGCAAACAAGATGTCCTTGTCTTCGTTCAAAGCGGCCTTATCCTTGCCTCCTTCACGGAATTTGCCTTTGCCCCATCCGCACAGGATGGCACCGGATGCAACCGTAGCCTCGGATGTGACAACAATGTTCTTGCATGCAGTTTCAAGGCCTTGCCAAAAATCCTGAGCCTAGGAACCGCCACAGAGGTCTCGTTCAGGATCATTGGGCCCTCGTCACTGATCACGAGTGCCGGCATTGAGTCGGATCTGCTAGCCATGCGGGCATTCACGAGTGGAACCTCCAGGATTCTCGTTCCAGGGGCATCCTTGACCTCAACAATGCATCCAGTGAGGTCCTTTTCAGCGGCCCTCTTTTTTGGATTCCTTGCCGAAGGAGCCGTGCCGCCGTCTTTTGAGCCCGGGCCTGCACCCTTCTTCACAACGAAGTCCTTGGCCAGGGGGTTCCTTCCTCGGAAGTCCTCGACGAACTGCTTGAATTCTGGCTTCAGGTCCCACCAATGCTTGATCATCGCATCGGGCAGCTCAATGGTGACGATCTCACCGCCGGCCTGCTTGTCTTCCGAGCTCTTGTGTATTGGCTATGGACTCTTATGCAAAGCCCGGGGTATGAAGTTCATTTAGGCTCTTATATAGAGCCTAGATATGTCATCAATTTGATTTCGGATTTTACGCAGAGCCTACATATCACATGAATCTGATTTAGATTATTATGCAGAGGCTAAAGCAAACATGAAGTTGATTTGGGCTCTTATGTGGAGCCTAGATATGACACCATTGATTGCCTACATATGACATGAACGTGATTCAGGCTGTTATGCAGAGCCTCAATCAAACATGAAATGAGGCTCTTATGTAGAGCCTAGCTATGACACCAAATTGATTCCAGGTGTTACGCAGAGCCTAATATTGTATGGAGTTGATTTAGGCTCCGACGGAGAGACTAAATATATAATTGTCTTTTCAAGCATTGAAGCAGATACTGCATCAGAACAGCAGTTCAGGATCGCAGCGGCTGAGACTCAAAGCAGCAGTTCAGGAACAAAGTGGTTGGGCATCGAAGCAGCACTTCACGATCAAAGCGGTTGGGCCTTTCCATAGACACATCTCTTCAATGGCGGTGGCTCGGGCTTCTGTTCCATGTGTGCAGCCGGCGGCTCCTCTTCCAACCTGCCAAAATGAAAATTACTCTAGGTTAAGCAAACAAAGACCAACTCTTCAGAGCAATGTGTTGTGAGGCATGACAGGTGCCTCTCCATGTTCGGCACCTTCAGCTCCCCCTGTTGGAACTGCTTTGCCAACTCGGACAACCAGAAGCTTGTGAACCATTCTTGGTGATCGCTGTCCGCGAAGATTGGCAAGTAGTGAGCCGGCACATTGAGGCTTTGGGAGGCACTGATGAACCCTTCCAAGAAGTTGCCGACGTATGGAGTCGTATCCACGACCACCAAGCCGGTCGTCGTTCCAAGATTGGTGCCATCCTCGCATGCAAGCCGAAACATGCCAACCCGACTTAGTATCGAGGGGTCGATACTCTGCATGTGCACCGATCTATAGCATGCGAGTTGCAATTGCAGCTTGAAGCAGCTTGGCAGCTCCGTCCCCGCCAAGCTGTGCATACTTACCTGCCCCTTTGATGTTGCCCACAGATGTGTCCGGCAGCGCATTCGGGCTTGTGCTTTCGATTGCTATCATACTCCTGGACGGGACCTGCTTGGCCTCCATCTTGGTCCGGCGGTTTCGGACCAGGAAAGAGTCCTTCCAGAGCCAGTGGGATTCAAGAGCACTCTCTTCCTTCAAGCTTCCACCCGGAGGATTCAAGATCTTGCCCTGATACGCCATGGGCCGCTGATCACGGTGGTCCTCGCAAGACACAGGAGTCAAAATCCGTCAGAAAGCAAGAAGTTTCAAAACAGGATGCTGACAAAGAATCTGCCATCAAGGTTCTGTCTTGCTTGCGACATCGAACAGAAGCTGAAATCCCGAATCCACCTGAAGCCCCGAGTTGCTCAAGGTTTTGAGCAACGAGTACTCTTCGTTGAACAACCTTGATTGCAGCGGGCAGCATGCCAATGGAAGAAGGCACCAGGAATCACGCATGAACCGGTTAAAGGCATCATCGGTAAGTCCTAGCAGCTGACCGGGCTTGTAGCTGAAGCATGGGGACAGCATCAAACCCATGGCTTGGCTGGAATGCTGAGGAGTCGTAATCCAGGTTGACATGAGCTTCAGGGTCGCCAGCGACACGTCCGCTTTGATCAACGAGGGGGCCGTGTAGTTGGCCACGAAGAGCACAGCCTCGGCTACATTTACCAGGCACATTCCCCCGGGCACCCGGGCACTGGACTTAGTAAGACCAAGGGCCGACCGGCGAAGCTTCACACCTCCAAGCCAGGTCTCCACATCCTTTTCCACGCATGCCAACATCTCGAGGCCGGTGGCCAGATCGAACTTGTCCGGCCAGCATTCAGAAGAAACCTTGGCTACAAAACTCAAATCTGAGGCAGTTGGTTGGATGCAGACTACACACAAGTCTGAAAGCAACCCCAAACCCTAAACCTATATATTAAAGCTTAAACAAACTCTGTAAGTCTCAAATCTGAAGACGTGGATTGGATGCAGCCTACAGTTTACTTAGTCCACAAGCAACCCCAAACCCTAAACCCTATGAATTTGAAACCTTAGAAAGTGGACTTTTTCAAGCTCACACAGAAGTCTTAGATCAATCCCAAAATTCTAGACCCTAAGCCCTATCAATCGAAAACTCTGACGAAGTGGATTGGACCGCAGACATCTCGAAACAACCCTGAATCCTTCTGAATCCGACGATGTGGATTGGATGCAGCTTACACCTAAAACCCTAGAATCATCAAACCTGACAAAGTGGATTGACTGCTTAGTCACAAAACTGATATCAACCCTGTCAGCCTGAAATCTTGCAAAGTGGATTGGACACAGCTTACACATAATGAGGTGGACTTAAAAATCCATCGCAAACCCTACACCCTAAGCTCTATCGATCGACAAGTCTGACGAAGTGGATTGGATTCAGCTTCTGCAGACATCTCGAAACAGCCCTGGATCCTTCTAAATCCGACGATGTGGATTCGATGCAGCTTACACATAAGTTTCAAATGCTTTCTAAACGTAGAAACATAAAACCCTATAATCCTATAAACTTGAAACTGAACAAAGTGGATTGGATGCTGCTTACCTACGATTCTCAAATCAACCCCAAATTCTATGAAGTTCAAATCTTACAAAGTGGATTGGATGCAACTTCTTAGTTGAGTGGATGCACCTGACACAAACGCAAACAAACATTAGGGTTTCGGTTTGCCCGATCTTTCCAGAGGAGCAGCCTTCGTGTCCCACCACTGCCGTGCTGCATCGGAGGCCCGGTCCAGCCGCTTTTTCAGCCATGTGTCCTTCTGGTGAATGACACGCACGGCAAAGTCCTGGAGCTTCCGCTGGTAGACGTCCAGACACTGTTCGTCGTAGCCGATCTCCTCCACCATGAGCTGGTAAGCCTGATTGTCCAAAGCTGCCTTGGCATCGGCCATCTTGGAGTCGGTTGTCGCCGTGCCGCCTTTCCCGTCCTTGTCAGCTGCCAAGCTGTTCAGAATCTCGGCCAAGCCTGAGTCCGGAATGTGAGGCAAGCCCCGAGACCCGGAATGCACGGCAAGCCTTGCGACCTTTGCTTCTCTGTGCCAAGCAGCATGCATTGTCTCGCGGATGCCACTTCTCGTCCTTGTTCTGGCACGAAGTAATCAGATCCATCTCCAGGACGAGGTCGCCGCTTTCCAGCTTTGCGAGGAACCTGGGATGCGAACACAAATCAAGTGCTGCTGTATGGTCACAGGCAAACAGGAATAGACTAGGAGCTTCTCCTGCAGAACGCCCTCGGCATTGGGAACTTGGGAGATCAACTCATGCACGACATTGCCTTTGTTTGGGGCTGGAATGACAATGAAGCTGCAAGCAGTGCAAGCAGGATGTCAATGTGCAGTGAATGTTCAGACAAGACACACGCCAGTGCACAAGCTTCCGCTTTCTCCTCCAATTCACCTTTCAACATTTTTCTCGCCCTATTCTTCAGAGATGTCCCCGACCACTGGTTGTTGATCATCCGGAACAGCAGCACGCACGACTTCTCGGAGTTCTGTACTCGTCTCTGCCAAGGCGAATTTCGCGGAACCCGGGACCCCTTGAAATTATACGTCGGCAGCAGCTTCTTCGAGCTCAAGGAGTCGTCACTGTATGGACAGCCTCTGTTGGTTCGCACAAGCTGCACACTGTCACTCTAGAAATGATCGGACTCAATTGCTGCCCCAGTCGCCCTCCCATCCATACAAGCTGACGGCGGCGAGGATCGACACGCGGCACTGCTCCGGCATTTCCAAAACCGACTTCACCGCCATGGCCTTGGCACCCACAATCTTGTCATGCTTCGCTGCATCCTCATTCCTGAGTCCAGATTGGTTTGCGGCTTGGACACAGCAGCTGCAAGCCGACACACGAACACACAGTCTCTGCCAAAGACTCCAAGACTTGATGAGCTGGGCTGGATCATACAGGCTGGCATTGGAATTCGACATGTTCGTCAGGCTGAAAACCCAGCTCATGGCATTGGGTGATTTCCGAATGCTGCCCTTGGTGGACTTCTTCATGTTGAAAAACCTCAGAATGAGGTCGGACAGACTTTGTGTCAAATTCCAAATCCTTGACCCTGGACCATAGCCCCAAACACTTACCCCGACTTGAGACCCGAAAGCTTGAGGCCTGGCCTCGAACCCGTATCCCTGGCCGGAAAGCTGTCTACCGGAACAACCTGAAGCCTGGCCAAATCGATTGTGTGCTGCAGCTACATCCGAAAGCCATAGTAACACCGACAGAGTAGAGGCATGTCTTATTATTACTTCTGATAATAAGACATGAGTTAGTTGACCAGCCACCATGTACAATTCATCCAATGCAACTGCACAGGCACCATCACGCACAGGCACTATGAACTGAGCAGGTCATCTAAAGCTTCTCAATAATAGCCAGCAGCTGACACCCCAATTCAGTCCAGTGGCAACTCCTGCTGTCGATCGGCCAGGCGGATGTGCTTGCATTTCATACATGCCAGACTCTTCTTCAGAGCCTCCGGCACCTGCCCGCCAGAAAACAAGGTGCACATGCTTCGCACTTCCAAAAGAACCCCCCCGGCCCAATGTGTCTCAATTGACATCCGCCTGCTCGCCAGTGAAGTGGCATGCAACAACAGCTGCAATGGCCGTAGTCACCCTGGCAGCCCCTTTCAAGAACCAGACACTGCCAGCCGGGATGTCACCAGAGTCGTGCATTCGACTGTCCTGCCATGTGTCAAAATGGAGCACGCACCAACATGACCAAAAAACGCAGCCCCCCCAAACAATCCTGCATTCGAACGAGGACCGGCTCACCCGTGCTCTCAAACCCGTCGACCGCGAAGTTGTTGAGGAGCTTCTCTGTCGTGTCAAGGGCGGGCGGTTCCCTTAAAGAGGCTTCGTTGTCCATGCTGAAAACACTGGGGTGCAGCACGAAAGCATGCTGCCCGTCTTCAGCTCCTGAAAGCAAGGGCTACTGTCTAGGGGAACAGGTGCCCATGACAAACACGACTTCGGAAACAATATCCTGGAAGGCAGGCGGGCAAAGGATAGGAGTGCTTGTAGGCCACGGAGTCATCCAGGGGAATCTCCTTCATCAGTATGTCCGCAATCTGCGAACTTCGTTTCCCACGGAGAGGGAACTGCTGGTGCAGATACTGCCGAACCCCCCCTGCACCTTGCAATTTTCGTTGCACAGTCTGGTGTTTCTACGAACTGCTGCATTCTATCTTCTAGCAAGGAGCTCTTGAAGAGATCGTAGAGCTTGGCAAAGACCAGGTCGGCCGGCTTGGTCAACTTCTGCAAGGCTTCGGTAGTCCCAGCATCGGACATAGCCACGTCATCGTCTGCCGTGGAAGCCTCAATTTCATTTTCGGATCTTTGCAAGCAGTTCTTGCACGAGAATAAACAGGACGAGTCAGTGCCTCCAAGAGGCAGGAGCCGCGAGAGACTGCACCTCGGCCGCCATCACGGCCACAGAAAAAGCCAGGAGCTGAGCCTCGCTGTTGCAACATGTTTTGGCTTGGCCGATGAATTGGGGTGCGGCTGGAAGCGTTTCGATCGAAAGCGTCGGATCTCCCCAGCCCCTAATCAATTGCCGTGCAAAACCATGATCATTGCAAATCCCCTTCCCGGTCCAAGCTTGGGTCTCCGAATCAACCATACAGCTTCCACCGATTTCGTTCGAAAGCGGTGGATCTCTTTATCTGTGGCCACGCACCGTCGGAAGCTCTCTACCGAAAATTCGATACGCAGCCTCTCCTGGCGACCGCTCCTCGAATCTAAGATGGGACGATTTCGATCGAAACGGGTGGAAGCCGTGATGCTCCAACGGGACCTTAAGCTTCCACTGATGGCATGCTGAGGCTGGCTGCTGAATCTCAAAACCCAGCACATTGCACGACAGATGTGGTAGTCCTTTCTTGCCGCACAGACAGCACATTGACATGTCCTCCGCACATCACAGGACAAGAACGGGTTTTCCCGTCACGTCCCCTGCACAGCAGGAGACCAAAATGGAACACAGAAGCTGCAGACTCGGACGGGCATTCTAGGGTCCCCGGACTCTCGGAATGATGTCGGAGGCTGCCCCCGGCCAAACGTAAAGCACTGGCAAGCAATCTCAGTGACGGGTCGCGGCCTTGCCACGGCCAAGGCCTCTGCCTCGACCGCCACGGTTGCCGGCCCTGGCGGGCCTCTTGGATTTCTCCGCATCCACGAACTCACTGAAGAAGCTGGAATCCTGGACTGGGCCTTTGGCTTCAGCATCCGTGTAGGCCTTCCAGAACCGTCGCTCACAGGGATCTTTCCACAGCTCCTCGGGCACATTGCCATAGAACTTGGCCTTCATTTCATCGAACTTGGCTTGCTGGGTCTCGCTGCCTTTCTTCTGCCTGCCTGCGAACGTTGGCCGCTCGGGCCACTTCGGGCCTTCTGCTGGCCCCGGCTGTTCAGCTGCAATCGGAACCTCGGCGACTGTGTCGGGGGGCATGGCAAGAATGCCCTGGCCGGCAGATTCGCCGCTGAAGATGTCGTCTGCCTTCCGCTTGCGAGCTGCCTGCTTCGGAGCCTCAGCCGCCTGGGCAGCCTGCTTCACGGTGACAGTGCGAACAGGACCAGGAGCGAAACGTTCCCACCTTGGATCTGACAATTACTGTTCCTGGTCTTCTGTGTTCTTGATAACAAAGCACCAGACTGCACCATGCTACAGACCTGCTTCCTGTCTTAGTTCAGGCACCCTTCGGGGTTTGGCACAATGCCGATGGGTCGTGTGGCCGCAGAGAACCACCAATCGGGCATGGGCACAGGCGGCCAGACTTGCCGCTGATTGGCATCCTCGGATAGCAAGGTTGGCCGACGAGGTCGTGCATATGCAAGTGCTACCGGGACTCCACCAGATTTCGCAGCTCCCTTGCAGCCTCGTGAAGGAACCACGGCTCCTGCTCGACAATCTCTGCTGTCCGAAGAAACCTCGCTTGCAGCAATAGACATACAACAAATCTTGCACGACACGAAGAATGCATGAATTCAATCGCATGCCTAACTAACTTGGAGTGGGCAGCTCTTTCCTCGCCCTCTCTGCAAGAAGATTTCGCGGCAAAACCTCCAAAGGCTTCTCCAAACGCTTCGCGAAGCTGGCAGGAAGGATGGTCAGAGGTGGCTGGGACAAAGATCCACTGTTGGTCAAGTGCTTGACCAACAGAATGCAATCGCCGTCTTGGGCATCGTAGCCTCCCTGAGAATGCGGATAAGAGTTCCAAAATCGCGGAAATCGACCTATGCAGAAGACGACTTGTCAATGTGCACACTAAGCAGCTCCAGGAATCTCTGTTGGTGTCCAGGACTCAGCAGTGCCACTGTCGTACATCGGAAGATCCTCAGCTTGTCAGGCGGATATCACTTGGATTACGGCTTAAGGCTTACTTTCAACAGCCCGTGCAGACTATTGCTTGTAACTGTATCGCAGTGAAGCTGCCGATCTGCGAATGAATCTCCAACAGTGATTCACATTCATTTCCGAATCATCCTTTGCTTGTGCATTCGGCACCAGCCCTGCAACCGAATGCCCGTACTGCTGGAAAAACTCCTTGAAGTCGAGGCTTCCCGGCAAGACCTCTGCATGAAGCTGCCGCTTTCTGACAGGCTGCACCTTTTCCTTGACAATGGCGACGAAGTCCTGCAGGCTAGCATCTACACAGATCAGACCAAGGATTCCTTCAACCAAGAAAACGGGGGACGACGTGGGCCTCCGGGGTTTGGATCGTGTCGGCATCTGTGAATGCAGACACTGCAACTCCCAGCCGTTGGTCCAAGGGCCCGTGAGTATGGCCGACTTCGCCGAAGACGTGTGTCACGCTTCGGAATCTGGGAGCAATTGCTTTCAGAGACAACCATACATTAGTTTGTCGGCAAAAGCAATAACATTCAATCTAGTGCCAAAGAGCTTGTGTTGGATGACGGCCGTGGCGCTGAACTTGGCCATTGTTTGATTTTTTCCTTCTCTGGCACAATTATCCGTCTGGCACAGGGGCACAAGCAAGCGGAATGCATCAACCACGCGAGGCTCACAACTTCAGGGATAAGCCAGGCCTCTATGATTAAATGCTCTGGCAGAAGCTGGCCCCTGCTTTCCAAAATGGAACTGGCCACGTCGATTGCCCGGAGCACGCATGTGATCTCAGTTGAAGAGTCCTTGCTCTCTCTCTTTCTCTCTCTCTCTCTCTTGCTCGCTCTCTCTCTCTCCCTCTCTCTCTCTCTCTCTCTCTCTCTCTCTCTCGCTGTCTCCTTCTTCACGTCCGGCTG